ATACGTGAATGTGAAAAAAAATATTTATTTAAAACATTTTGGCGTTTGGAACATAAAATAGTGTATCAAGGGTATCGAAAGATATACAATTTTAAAGGTACGGTGTGGTATTTTTCATTCGTTAAGTATAACATTTTTGCTAAAATCTATATTTTTTGTAGTTCAACAGCTTAGAATTTTATAAAACAAATTCATAATCAAAATCGCTGTTGTTAGTTATCGAAAAATAACCAAGATGGGATTTTTGCGTAAATGTCACTAAACTGTACAAATTGCTATTATCCATCACACTAGGAATGTTTCTTTTATGCGGAAGTGTCCCGTTTTTCGATTTGTATGGAACTGTGGTGTGTCGAAATACTATCAGAGCGCTGACAAGCAAGCTTCTGAATGTACGCAAAAACACCCCGTCTGGTGACCGAAGCTTCGGAACAGTGCTTCACTTTTAATGCCGGTTTGGTCACTCCTTCCTTTCTTACCTCCATGGTAGAAAGTCCTTTCTCACCTCCATTGGTAGTAAATTACCTCTTCCCGGAGAAGAGCAAACTCCGATGTGACCTTCCTCGCCCCGTAATTACCACAACTTCTGAACGATCCTAAATGTTTTGGCAGAACGCCAGCCAAGGTTACGTTTGACGCATTCGAACTATACTTGAGGCTGCAACAAGTAGGCTTACTATCACTTATGTGTGTATAATTGTTTATCACGTGAGTGAGATGTTCTCTCTTGGTCGTTATGCCTGGTTTCACTAGCGTATGGGTAGCTCAACATCATGAATGCACAGGCTTTATATACTATATTACATGGGGGGTACAATTTATAATTATTTTCGTTTTAGGGGTATGCGATCAAAAAACTTTGGAGATCACTGACTCAAATTATGAGGCAGCATATATCCCACTCGGAAAGAAAATAAGAAAACAAAAGACTCAAATCTGAAAGTCATAGACATTATAAGTGGGTATCAGAGTCTTAGGTATCAGATCAAAGATCTTAGTGAAAGGTATCAGATCTTAGTACTGATCAATAAAACATAAGATTCTAAGCTGGCTTTCTTTTAGGTTATTTGATTTGCTATAGGAAAACATATAGGGTTTTATTTTTTAAAGGAAAAGGACTTTGAGAGTCTTGAGGAACATTCTTAGGCTTATATTCGCATTCGCACGCAGGGAAAACAGCAGAAACCCTATTTAATCAACTCGCCCACTGGAATCGAACCAGGGACAAGTTAGCTTAGATGAATGGTCTTATTCATTCTACCACTAGTAGATCCAATAGTAACACAATGCAACGAATGTGTTTATATATCTATATATTTAAAAAATATAAATCAATAAAGTTAAAATCTATTTTAACAATTTAAGTGGATTGTATTATTTAATTATACTTTTGGGAGGGCTGTATTTGTGAAGTATTTATGTGGCACACAAGTTCAGCATAATTCTAAAATGTTGTGTCAGAATAGTGATGAAATCTCTAAACTCTTATGCTCAATGTTAAACATAGTTTAGGAATTAGGAGCAGCGAGGAATTCAGCTATAAAAAGGCAGTTTTGCATGAAAATCGTAAAGGATTTCAGACAGATTAGGCATGAAAAATTTTCCGCTTTACTGCATTCTCTTGAGTGGATTGTAAACTGATCTTATATGCCTAGTCATTCATGTTATTCACATTACTACTGAATAATTAAAGGCGAATATTCAAAAATACAATCTTAAATATAGAATTATTTATTTCTTTATTTTATTTTTAAACGGCCCACAGACTTCAACTTATAGACAAGTTGATGCCTTTAGGGACAACGTAATTCTGATCCAATTACATATGGATTCATGTGCTGCTTGATATTTTATTTTTCCTCTGTAATTTAGTGGTTTATATTTAAATTTAAAACTTTTTGCAAATAAATATGATTCTTTGTAATTGGATGGCAATGGGTTTAATAACAAAAATTTATCTTGATCTATAAATTTATTTATAGAATTTTTTTATTCAAAAATTTATCTATAAATTTATCTTGATTGTTTTCAAAAGAAATTTATTAAACTGCTGTTACATAAAATCTGCATGTTTTTAGTCTTCCTATACTAGATGTTTAGCTAGGTGATGTTCGCTTTTAGTCGTGGAGTTTGAGTCGAAAAGGAAAATAGTGGATTTTTAGCCGAAAATTCTGGCATACGTGCAAGTAATCCCGTCCCCTATCGGCTATGGTGTAACTGAATAGTTTCCTCTACGCCAACTTATCCATACGCGCTACTGCATATTTGGCGATAACTTGCTAAACTTGGATTCTATAAAGCAGTCGAACAAAGGTGAAATAAAATTTATATGAATTTAACCATGTTTAAAATTAATTATAATTTAAAATTAAAGAGGAAGATAAGAAGTAAGTTTTGCTCTACTCTTTCAGGCATGAAATTACCCGATAATGGTGAAATGAAATTCACATAGATTTGAAATTGATTAACAATAAAATGAAAATATACTGAAAACTTATATTAAAAACTCCTAGCGGGCTGCGGCCAAAGGAAAATTTATAAGTTCTATGTACACCTTATAAGGTATTTCTCCCGCTTTTCTAGCGTGCCTTCGTGGTGTAGTGATTCTGTGTGCTGGGCTGGTATTCCAGAGGTCCGTGGTTCGATTCCCGGCGAAGGCTGTTGCTAAATTTTCATCTCCCTTACTTCCAAAAAAATCCTAATGTCTCTACAGTGGCGCCCGAACTAAAAGGGTTGTGGATGATGACTCTCCACACCCAGGATTTGGCGATTGGGTCCCCTAAAAACCCCCAGTCGCCCTTTAAAAGAGGCAGTATATAAGGTATATCTCCCGTCTTCCTAGCGTGCCTTCGTGGTGTAGTGGTTCAGCACGCTGGGCCGGTATTCCAGAGGTCGGTGGTTCGATTCCCGGCGAAGGCAGTTGCTAATTTTTCATCTTTTCGGCTTTTCCAATTACCTAATATCTCTATAACCTGAAAAGAAAATGCTAAAAATAATTTCAATATAAACGAAATCAGTTCATTCTTTCCAAGCAACAATCAATTCGTAAATAATTTTTTTGTTAGAAAATCTAAAAACAAAAACTTTTCACACTACAGATTAATACGTATACGTACGACGTTACGATAGTTAATGTCTATTCCAAGAACAATTCTTTCAAAGTCCAGAAAATAAATTTTTTGTCTTTCGTTTATTACTTTGACTTTATTTAACGCGTTGTATGCATTTTGAAATTATTATATGCACAATAATGTTATAAAAAATTACGTTACTGATGCATAAAAACAAGGGTCGTAGCGCGAAGATATTTTCGTTAAATTTTAATTATATTCTTCATAAATATAACTACTGCTTATTACGAAGCGAGCCGCGTGAGTTTCTCCAGTTTGCTGGAGTAAGTTTTTATGAATTATAAAATTTCTGACCATGCCATAACAAATTACCTGATCAAAACTTATCAGTGCTCTGCATTTTCAATTTGCTTGTTTAACAACTTATGGCAAAGCACTATTTGCCTAAATGAAGGAAGCCTTAGTGGGAGACTTTTTAAGGGAAACTGGCTTCTATTCATGTTACGCATGGAAAAAACTCCTAAGCAACTAGCTAATTCGAAAGTTTCGCATTTTTTGAAATGATGAAAATTTTAATAAACTGAAATACAGTTTTGGAAACATTGCTGTTACAAAATGTGCAAAAAGATAAGTCGATCTTATCCCTTAGAAACATATTTTTATTAACTTTATTACTCAGTTCCTTTTCCCGAGATAAATTACTTCGAATCAATCTACCCAAGTTTAGGTTTAGAAATATTTTTTTAAACTATTTTCAATATCAAAGCTTTAACTAATCATTAATGCTGACTGCAATTTCTGTGCCTAACGCTGAAATATCAAATATGAGATTGAGCTAAAAGGTCAGAGTGCAGCCATTTGCCATACATATTAAGAGCTTGTTGATTCATTTCTTTTTTAAATAACAATTAGAAGTCATAACACATATCAGTGAAACGATTTTCATATTTTTTGCAATCAAATTTAGTTTAATTAAATAACCGCAAATTAAAATGAAAGTGCCTTTTTCCAAAGATAAAATATGAAAGCTTTACCGTAGTCTTACCGTTTTTTTAACTAGTATGTCGAAGACAGAAATATCAATCTAGCTGAATAAACTAATCACTTTTAATACTTATTACGAAAAAGAGTTATTTGCAAATTCCTGCATTTTAGATTTCCTTCGCTTAATTTGTCTGGATTATTTTTAAATCAGAATTACAAGGAAAAACATTTGTAGTCTTTCCAATTCAAGTTTATTTCAGCACTTAATTCTTAAACACGATCAAATCAAAATTAATTGTATTGTATGCTGAGTAATTTCGTTTAAAATATGTTCGAAAAGAAAAGAAGTTAAGTAGTCTGCTCTGTGGAAGTTAGTGCTATTAATTAGATTGCTAATTTGGCAAACAATCGCCAAACTTGAGCCAGTCAAAGACGCCGGACTTAAAAAAAAACATTTACTCCGGACTAAGATGGAAAAAGTTGCGAGGTCTTGGCTAAGTGGGAAGTGTTTATTTACTTCTGTTTATCTATTACTGTTTCGTTTCGGCTCAAATTTCACTATTTTTCCGATTTTCCATCGCGGATAAAATTCCACTAGCAAAAAAGACACCAAACCGTTTAGCTATATCCCCTTTTGCAAGTGAAAATTCTTTTCACACAAAAATTAAATAAATAAAAACGAAAACAAAATGCTTTTCCCCCCACTTTCCTTTTCTTTTTTTCTCTCGATATTAAATTAATTGAATTTCTTGAACATGCATTAGAACTTCAGCCAGTAGGTTAGGAATGTAAACAAGATTTACTTTCTTAATAACTTTCTGGGGAAAAAATAAATCATTTATTCTTGTTCCTCGCGATGGATTTGCCCAGCGAACACCCAAGCACTTTCTCCATTTCAAGTCACGTTCCGATTCCGGAATACGAAAGTGTTCCACTTGAGTCTGGCTCAGTCTTGGCGAGAAGAGTATGATTTTCAGGCAACCCTGCTCAGGCTATTGTGAAGTAATCTCAAGTTGATTAGCTTCTCTTCTCTCGAATTCAAGTCAGAAAAACGAAAGAACTCTAAGCGAAGCGATTAATCCTTAGCGGACAGTCAGGTAAGTGCTCTTCTCCCTGGTCATTCTGTCAACAAAAACTGACGTTTTCCTCTCGCTTCGTATAAAGGTCTTTGAAGAGGTTTCAGATGTGATGAGGATTTCTAAGGATGAGGTTTTTGACAGGCGCTTAATAGTTTATGCCGCTGTCAGTTTTCTTTTATGATTCTCAATAAATCTTTAACGATTTTATTAACAGCTAGCAGAAAGAACTTTTATCGATATTTTTAAAACTTCGTCTCTATTTTTATTATTTTCCTTTAGGACTAAGAAAATAGATTTTATAATTATTAATTAATAAATTAGTAATTAGTAAATTAGCCGTTTATCAGCCAGTGATCTTTTAAAAACTGCAGTGACTGAAATAAAAGTTTTAATCATAGGATAAAATTCCACATTATAATTTCTCATGTAAAACATAGCTTTTAATTCCTACATGCATTTTAATTAGCATAGTCTTTTTTACGTACAATCTATGACTGCAAGAATTTAAATCTCTACATCGTCTTAACTTTTTCTCTCGTAATTTAAATTTTATTAAATTTTTATAACGTTCAGAATTTAATTTATCTTTTCTTCTAATTAAGGTATTTTTCATATTTTTACCTTCAATCAAAATTACTTTACAAAGCAGTTGCTAAATTTGATTTTTACATAACGCAGCTGAAACGTGAAATAATTTAAATGCTCCTAAAAAGCTTGAAATTTTAGGAGATTCTGCAATTTATGTACCTCTTCCACCTTCTTTTATTTTGATATTTCTATTTATAAATTCAACACCTTGTTAATGCAAAAGAACGGAAACAAAGTTAAAAACTTTATATCAGTGCATATCTATTTATCTATCTATCTATGTATATGTTTATCTAGTCGTATGTGTATCTATTTATCTATGTATCTGTTTATCTATCTATATATGTATCCATCTCTCTTTCTATATATCCATATATATATATAGAGAGAGAGAGAGAGAACATTTACATAAATTTAATGAAAGATATATATATGCAATAATGTTATGCACATTAAATAACAATGAAAATTAGATATGTATTCTAATTTTGGTAAAAGAATTTTTTTGTACCTAAAGCTCTTAAAACGAAAAGAAATAAGGAAATATATAGTGTATACCTTTGAGATTCTCCTTTGTATTAAGATGGAAAATTGCCTTCATTTACAAGCCATATGATAAAAATTTCCGGTTCAGAATTTATTTGCTTCACTCTTCACCACCCCCCCGTTCTTGTTTTTCTTAAAATTTAAATATATCTGATAGACTCAGTAATATTGAACTTTCGAAGATAAATTTAAACTATGTGAAATTTTTATAAAATGAAGGCAAAGAGAATGCAAGGGATTCTCAAGCAAAATTTTCAAAAGGATAATTTGATGCCATATGTGGAAGTTTAACTAAAGACTGAAGTTCATTTGCACAGTTAGAAGGCAAAAATTCAAGTCTAACACTTTTCAAATCCGTAATTCAGATGAATGACCCACGTAAGGATCAATAAAGAGAATAATTTTGTGTTATCCCCTTTTCATTTTCTTACATAATTTACTCGAAAAAAATTCAAAAATCGTTTTAACCTTCTACGCCTTTTTGATGTTAGACTCAATGGGAAATGATTTAATATTTTTAAAACGAAACAGCTTTTTGTAATTTCCTGTAACCGAAAGTGTTAACTTTTATCCCAACAGCCATTGCAAACAGGAAAAAAAATTAAAACTTTTTGGGTCAGTTTTTATCCGTGATGTGATTCTTCATATGCAATTTAATTCTTATTCGGCAGAAAATTAAAAAACGGAAAAAACTGAAAAGCTCTCATATCAAATGTGCTGAAAGTATTTCTCTCAGAATAATTTTCAATAAGCAGAGACCTACTTTGTTACTAGTGATAAATCAACACTTTCTGATTTGTCATACACTGATCTATATGCGATACTATGCCAGCCTTAAAGTTAATGGATCTGTCTATCCATTACGAATGCGGCCTTTTTACTTGTTTAATTGGGCCCGTTATGAAATCCTGTGAGTATTTACATCTCTTTCCTAGCCGAATTTGTACGCAAATTACCGAAATCAGCAGCTCGAGTGCGCATCTATTGCTATAGCGTTAATGCACATATATAGGCATGACTGTATTAGTTTTAAACCTAAGCTGAGAACACTAGATTATGCTAGGAAGCATACGCATCCGCCCAAGAATACAGTCGTATAATTTCTAGCAGCTTAGAAATTAAATGATGAAATATGTTGAGATAAAAAGACTGATCAGAAAAGGGGAACATTTTACCCTTAAACTTTTATTTGAAAATAATGTAGCCTCCATGTCAACCATTTGACGACCAATAGGAACAGATTCCGTTTTGGGATACTGGTATTTAAAAAAAAATTAATTTAAAAAAACATAACTACCGGGGGTTGTTTCCCCATCGCAACTTGCAAACAAAAGAGGGCAAAAAATTGTCACAGGCCTGCATTCATGAGGCACTAAAAAACACTTTTTTGACATGTGATTAAAAGTATTTCTCCCCTCCCTCCCTGCATTAGATGATGAGAACACCTATATTCTTCGTTACTTCTGAAGCTCTGTCTCTTAAAAATGTACTATTAATTGCCAAACTGGCAGCTCAAATAGCTTTTAACAACTTTTGTAAAATATCTTCAAGCTCTTTGTAAAAAGACTATTATTCAAGCATTTTTTCCTTACAAAGTTATGGAAAGATTTCGTCAACACTTCTGCAACCCTTTCTCTACAGTTATTTGAACAAGGGATGGTGACAAACTATATTTTCTTGCAATCTCAGGTTTAGTACTTTTAAAGAGCTATAACAAAGAGAACAGAGTTAAAGAGAATAACATTTTTCTTGTCATCAAATTTCGAGAATTTCGTTTCTTAATAGTCATATATTATTCATGAAAATCATTATCTTTAATGATCGGCAATTTGAAAAAATAAGACAAGCAACAATGAAACTAATTTTAGAATAGGGAGAAAGGGGAAGCAACCAGGAACTTCCGAATGTGTAAACTGAATAGGAGGGCAGGTTCTTTGAGAAAATTTTGAAAGGAGTGTTTCTTATCTGACCACATTTCGTAAAAAGGATAGGAATTTTCCTTGGGTTGATGGAGCAGGTGTAGCGTCCTTCATGAGTGGTCAAGGTTAAAGTATCATCTACTTTAGAAGTGTTGGAACTTCTGAAACATTTTATGGCTATACTATACAAGAAAATCTAAAACTATATTAAATTACAAAAAGCACTAGAAACAAGAAATTGTATTAGTTAATGATGCAAGAAATAGGATAATTTATAATGCATGTCGATAAAAAAAAACTTCAAGATCTTAATTTTGATTACGTGAGATGCGAAAACATAAAAATGCAATTTGCTGCATTTCTTGTAATTATAAAATGAAAATTACATTCTATGCGTATTATTAGGGCAGTTTACTGCTGATATTAATTTTATTGATTGTTGAGTTCCGATATGAAAAAGTTTGCAACATGTTTCAATTTATAATTCTGTGCAGTATTCAGAAATATTCAGTAGAATATCATTCTACAGTCAAAAGCTCCTAATACAGACACTGGTAAAAAAATTTCTTATGGTTATTATTTTTTATGCACATGGGTATAGGGAAATTTCAATACTTCAGTTGTTCTTCCCAATGTACTTACGTTAAATTTAATAACTTTAAGTGCTCACTTCATAAATATGTTTTCAAACAAGAATACTTTTCGAGAATGTAGAATTTTCCCCCTTGAGTTTATTATTTAGCGATGATAATATTTACTTTCACGAATGTTTTTATTATTATTAAACAAATTATCAAAATATTCCTCCTCTTTGAAATAATTAAGTACTTTGAAATAACTAAGTGTTTTAACTAAGTGCGATTAACATGCGCCATTTTTGTATTTACCTTAACAGCTGACGGAGCATTTATATAACATATAAAGAAATAGTCATGTATGTTAAGAATAATATTGCTAATCCTATCTGCATTACAATTCATCTATTTTATTTTTCCTTTATTCAATTAGCACTCTTCCCCCCCCTACGATATTTAATTGTACCAATGAGTATAAGACCCTAAATTCTATTATTAAAAATAATAAGCAAATAAATAATTATAATAGTCTTCTAATTCAACAGAAAGGAGAAAAAAATTATAATGAAATTATCGAGCTAAAGAAAATAAGTAAATGAACATCCTCTGCGTTTGTTTATCACTCAGCACAGCGATTTAAATGAAAACGAGTCTCCTAACATTCTGCAGAAATGTGGGAAGAGGCAAATCTAATAAACCTGATCACGTTCCAGATTAACAAACGTATTTCCTCCGGTTAAATTTTTTGTTAATATAGCGTTTAAAAAATCCTCCTAATCTTTCTTCCCCCCCCTCCCCTTGTTATTTAAAATCTGTTATTGCTAGGATAGCAAGTGTTTCATTCAGCTGAGCAGATGTCCCTGAAATTATATAAAATAAGATAATTCTGAGCTCGTAATGTAAATAATCTCAAAAATACGAGTTTTTGTTCTCTCCGTATTGTTTTCCCTTTTACGACTGACCTGCATTTAAAAGAGGCAGGAATGGTGGGAGGGTAATTGCAGGAAAAGAAACTTGATTATCAAGTTATCTGTGACATGCGTAGGAAATTAAATTGTCCATACACATTTCATACTTCACTTCGCTCATTTCTAAAATTAAATTTTATCATTAAGCAAATCACTTTTTCATTTATAAATAAGCGCAATTGAAATGCGATATAACGCATCCTCTGAGATTCAAAATAACCGGCCTGTTACATCAAATTTTGCTTGAAAATAAGCATTAAGCGTAAAGACTCGGAGTCCCCGCATATTCAGTATTCTTCTGAGTTACATATGATGCCAGTATATATGTACAGTAAATTTATGAGACCCCTTTCTAATAGTGACCCATTATAAAGTCTTGGTACCTTAACGCAAGACGGTCACTGATTGACAAACTTTTACAAGGTTACCCCTATATAAAGGTGCCCGAACAGTTTTCAAGATTAGTTTTTTAACCTGAAAAAGGCAAACTCTATAAAGGTGCCAGCATTTTATAGAGGATTAAATAGGGTTTTTTGCTATTCTGATTAATCCGGCAAACAAAAATTCGATTTGCATAGCAATGCCTTGACATAAAGATGCTGGCACCCTCGTAAATATTGTTTTTTACTTCCTTGTGTGAAGTAAAGATAGTATTGTAATCGCGAAAAATTTCGGAAATTATAGTTCAACGAAAATACCCATTTTTACTGTTCCCGAATCCATTTGGATGATTTTTTTGCTTGACATCTGCCCGTACGGGCAGAATAAATAACTCTTTTTTTTTTTTTTTTTTTCCAAAACTGAATGTAAATTTATTTTTAAATGGATTCAAAATAGATTTCTTCCCTGACGTCTGTATGTACCTAGGTCTGCATGCATGTATGTATCTCGCATAACTCAGAAACGATTACCCTTAAAACGTTGAAATTTCGTATATGGGACTGCTATAACTTCCAGTTCTGTACCTCTCTTTATTATTACAAATATATACCACCAACTTACCGGCCGTTATTTTCGTAATCGTTGGTCGTAGTCATATACTTCCAATCACAGAAGCGTTTTAAATGACGAAAGCATTCATGTTTTGGCAATGTCAAATTTAAAAAAAAAAAAATCCTTTTTCGACAAATAACGAAATCTAACTTTTAAAACGATCTCTCGGCTCCTATACGTATATCTGGGAAAGTTTTATAATCGGTATGAAAAAAATAAAAGTATAAGAAGTTTGACTTCCGTATGAAGATGGACCGGGATATTTAATTTCAAAATTTGCAATTTTTGATGTCATTTTCAACTAGAAGAGGAAACTAGGAGAGGCCTTTTATATATGAAAAATGAAGGTATTGATTTAAAAAAGAAGAATAAAATGAGAATTTTAATAAACACAGTATTACTTTATATGATTCAGTTACTTTAAGTAGTTATTTGCCCATTTAAATATTTTGTGAAGGTGTACTAAGCTTTTTAATACAGAATTTTTTATTTAAGATCTGTACGCGAATTCCGAAGAATTAATTCCCATTAAGAGTCCGGTAGCACAATGGCTAGCGCATCGATACCCAGGCTTTGCAAGGTCGACTCAGAGATCCACCCCTTGGGTCGATAAATGAGTACCAAGTTCGCTTGGCGACTAAACACTAACGACAAGCTGACCTTGTTCAGGGCATATGCTTAAGCACCCCGGGGCCCACGGTCAAGAAAGCAGATTTCGGGGCACTGCTGGCCTTGGCCCACTGGGGCTGTTGCGCCACTGAGTTTAGTTCTTAATTCCCAATAAATTGTAGAGACATTATGATTTTTTTGGAAGCAAGAGAGATTGAAAAATTAGCAACACCTTCGCCGGGAATCGAACCACGGACCTCTGGAATACCGGCCCAGCGTACAGAATCACTACACCACGAAGGCACGATAGGAAAGCAGGAGAAATACCTTATTTACTCCCCCTTTTAAAGGGCGACTAGGGTTTTTAGGGGATCCAATCGCCAAATCCTGGGTTTGGAGAATCCTCATCCAACACCCTTTTTAGTTCGGGCGCCTCTGTAGAGACATTAGGATTTTTTTGGAAGCAAAAGAGATTGAAAAATTAGCAACGCCTTCGCCCCGGGAATCGAACCATGGACCTCTGGAATACCGGCCCAGCGTGCAGAGCCACTACACCACGAAGGCACGCTAGGAAGGCGGGAGAAATACCTTATAAAGTAAAAAAAAAAAAAAAAAAAAAAAAAATTAACCGGAACAAATTAAACTAAATTAGCAATAGTTGAATTGTTGATATGAACTTTTCTTTTAGGAGTTTTTCGGTTTATTTTCACAAAGCAGTGTGCAGTTTTCTAATACGAAAACTTATGATTAGAACCAATATACTGCACAGGCCCAAATATAAGAACAGATGTTTTTTCTTACACTGCACCTTGTAAAACCATACTCAAGTTATATGCACCGTCTAACTTATAATAAAATATTAAGCTAATTTCCTTTAAAATTTTCTTTAAAAGGAAACATGTTTATTTCATTTTACTTTAAAGGGCAATTCAATTAGTTATGCATGAAAGTAACTTTAGAATACTTTTAATCAAAACGTTTTCTGAGACCTTCTCTTGATCAAGAAAAATTATCATCTGCGGTTGTTCTGTTGATAAATGAAAAAATCTGCGGTTGTTTTTAATTTGAAACATTAATATATATATAATATATATATATATATATATATATAGCCTGTTTCCTATCCAACTGAACTTTTCTTACGTTTTCAAAACAATTTTATAACAATTTATGACGTTTATTGCCTTAAAGTTTTATCTATAATACTTACAGTTCTTAATTTTTTCTATTGTTTCATTCATGCAGATATTCCAATTATGAATGAGGTGGTTGAGACAGTAGTTAATATTCTGGTGGTCTTCTACTGCTGCTTAGAAGGAATAGTTCTGTTCTTCATACCTCGACGATTTAAATACAAAGATATAACTAATGAGATTGTCTTAATCACAGGAGCAGGTAGTGGCATCGGGAGACTCATGGCTATCAAATTTGCTAAAAAGGGTGTCATTTTAGTATTGTGGGATATCAACGTAGATGGTAACGAAGGAACTGCAAAACTTGTGAGAGAGGAAGGTGGAAAGGCTTATACATATAAAGTGGATGTTACAGACAGAGAAGCTGTTTATAAAACGGCTGCAAAAGTAAAAGAAGATGTAGGCATCGTAACTATTCTAGTTAACAATGCTGGAATTGTGAGTGGCAAAAAAATTCTGGATTTAGACGACAAGATGATAGAAAAAGTTTTCAGTGTGAATGCTTTGTCTCACTTTTGGGTAAGTAAACTATTCCTCCTATTTTTCTGTATTTTGAAAGCTGCTTATAATGCAATTTTAGTGTTTATTGTTTTGCTTATAAGTATCATAGATGCGTGACACAAATCTAGAAACTGCCAGCAAATATTCCCAACGTAATTAAAGTTCAAGGAAAGTAATACGCAAAGAGTGTAAAAGTGTTAAAATACATTTGCAAGGCCAAAGTTAAGCTTTACATCTATTTTCGTCAATATTATTGCTTTCACTATCCATCAAAAACAGGTTTTGCATATTGGAAAAATTAGTATCACACATTAACATACGCAGCCTGAAGCATGAATCCCGCCTCATATATGCTGCTGTTTGTGAAAATATAATTTATTTAATACTACATGATGTTTCTTATCGGTAGGATAATGTTAATTCTATCGTGATACTGTACTCTTCTACCAAGTTAAAGTAATAATCTTAAATTTCGCAAATAATATAAAAATACTTCCTTCAGCAAAATAGTTTGTGTCAAAAGACTGGCTTCATTTTTCATATTGGATTTTTATTTGGTTATGATTTAACTCGAACTTCTTGTCTTCTTCCCTTTTATTCTTCTGATATTCCTGCAACATTTGTTTTGTTATTGCAGAAAGAATATTTTTCTTTTTTTATTTCTTGAACTGACTTTTTTCTTTGGTTCTGCCCAAAACAAAGCTCTTTTAAATGGCCTTTTCAAACTGTTTGGGGTCATTCTCAACCATTTCCATGCTATTACAATCTGCATTAAAACTGATTGTCCCCGCTACACTTATATTTTTATTCCTTAATCTTCAGTTTGCAGATGAGTCATAAAGTGAAAATTTTTGTTGTTTTTGAAAGCCCTGTTGTTCAACTAATCATATATATCTCACTCTGAATTAAATGAATATTTGTCTTCAATGCAAACATAAGGGGAATTACAGTTCATTAATAGTGAAAATTTAATATCCACTCCTATAAACTTGCCATTTTAACATTTTAGCAACGTCTATCTAATCTAACGCCGAAAATAAACTAAACTGCAAAATTTATAATAAGTATCCCTTAAAATATACTTTAAGGGATACACAACTTTTTCATCAATTACCAGATACTAGTTTTCTGGAAAAATAATTATCAACCTACATTGGTAAATTTTTTTAAGAGAAAGGCGTAAATTTAAACATGTGAATCAAAAACTTGGGAAAATAAAATTAACTGAAAGAAAATTAATGCAAAAATACAACAAAATTTACGAAAAATTATAAAATAGATAATTCTTTGGTCTTTGTCAAAGTGCAACTAAAAGAATTATCAACAGAGCTACATTTCTGAATTATATATATTCGATTTCGAAAAAAATCATTGTATTATATATGAACACTCTGCCATTGTCAGCTAAAGTCCATAACATAGACAAAGCGCCGTATAAAGGGGCGGGCTGTACACCCGGCTTAGGGCCGTTTCCTCTTTTCCGATTTATCCTCATCTCAAAAGAGTGCCCGACTTGTCCCCTAGCCTTCCCTACCGGTTCCCTCTTTTCATTTTCATTTTTCCTGGAAAAGTCACTTTCTGATCCTGCGAAACCTGCTTTCGTTAATTAAAACTGTTTAGACGAGGTGACCTATACTGCCCTGATCTAGTTTAGCTTTAGTATTTCCTTTAGACAATTCTCTGCGGAATAATAAATTTTAGGAATGTTCATAATATGTATATCTGAATCAGGTTATAATTTTATTTTTTTTGTTTCACATACTTTTTCAATCGATAGAATTATAGTTCCACTGCTCTGAAAGCCAATCAAAATACAACCGAATGTGTAATTAAGACTAAGACATATGTTTATTAAAATATTAAAAGTACAGGGAGTCCTCTTCGAACGTGACCATCCACGCTTCTACAGAATTTGGAAGTGTGGATTTAGAGAGTGGTATTTAGTTCCAATGTTTATGTTCTAAAAAATACACTTCCTTTCGGAGGATTAGGCTCAAGAAAATCGTAGCCACTAGATGATTTATTATAATTATTTTCTAATAAACAATCAAATTAATTTAATCTAATGACAATTTGCAAGATGACTGTTTATTCTGAGAGAGATCTAATTAGCTGTTATATAAGCTTAATTGTTTTTTTGTATATTTTTTTATTAGATATAATTGATATATGTCAGTGCACAGTAAATAAGTATACAAAAAAGGCCTAACAGATTGTTTAAAATTAAAATTCAAGATATTAATGATAATTTTTATATTATTATACGTAATACTATGATTTATGAATGATGAAGTTACGTAATATTAAACGCACTTAAAATCCGAACACGCAGAACTCTGAATTTCATGTCTCATATAATTATAAATATATATTCATATTATTACAAAACTGTATTAGGAATCTATTGTTTGCGTAGTTATCATCTGTAATTTTTTTAAAAAATTATAATTTTTAAATTTTATTTAATTGTAATTTGTAATTAATATGCAGCTTTTAAATTTTTTACAAATTATAACGTGATGCATATTTATTATCACATTCTATCATGAACAAATACATATGATACGTTTTGATATCTCTTACTTTATATAGTTTCCAAAAGACAAAAATGAAATTTAAAACTCAAATTTAGGGATTTCTGTAACGAAATCTAATCCTAAATATCTAGTACTTGGGATAAGGTGATAAGATGGTTAAAAATTTCCAGAAATGGAGTAAGTTCGTCACGTTCATCTTACAGTATAGACTGTATATATTTTACATAACTTCATAGAATAAAGACTAAAAGAATTGCGAAGATTTCTTTTTTGAATGCCGAGATTACTAATTCACCACCTGATCGTGGGGCACGAACCCATGACCCCAACAACACATCATTTTTTTTAAAGCCTCGTTACAGTAGCTCTTTCTATTGAGGCGAAACAGAAATAAAGGCTGCATTTGGGTACATTAAGTTAGCACATTAAGGCTATGTAAAAAATACGAAAATTTTGCTTTTTATTGCTTTAATCCAACAGCTACACGGACTACATTAAATTAAAAGAATCCATCAGTTTCTCTTCTAGGAGCATTAAATTTCAAAGAAATATTTTCTCCTACATTCTTTTTTTGTATCAATTGTTTGGGCAAATTCGGAAGTAATAAAATAATTTTACAACTGATTAAAATCAAAATAAGTTAGAGCTTTCCTTATATTTAAAAGTCATTTAATGAACGTAAAACATACGCAACTGGTGACAAAATAAAGTCAATTATTTATGAAATACAGTTGAAGAAGTATTTGCGTTACAAGGAAATCACTCGTAGCGCATCTAAAAGAATGCATGAGCATTACTCCTCGCAGCATAGAAGACACTAAAACTCATTTTGAAAATCCCATGTTTCCTAATTAAATACTTTCGTCTGAATTATTACAACGAAACAATTTAATTCGAGAAGAAAGTATTTAATTCGTTTCCGAATTAAATACTTTCGTCTGAATACAGGTTTATACTTTAATAAATCACAGTTCTCCACTTTTTTATGCTTTTTCATGCTTTCTCTTCTCGAATTTTTCCGACCTTAAATAATGTCCTAAGCCCGTTACAAAGGTTTCCCACTGATCAGGTCAACAATATCCAACAGATATGATCAAGCACTTGAGGTTTTAGAATAATATCAAAAATTTTAAATGCATTGCAGTGACATTATAAAGTTGCTTTTAAGCTAGGCTTTATCTATTCTTCTTTTTACATGAAAAATTTTAAAAGATAAAATATTACACTAAAAGTCCATATTTTTAGCTATCCAGTCATGTCACAAAAGGGATCGGACATTTACGAATACAAAATAAAAATCAAAAAGCATAATTTAAAAAAAAAATTCTAAACTTTTTTTAGATTTGCACTAACTTCCTAAACATGATTTACTCTTTTTGTCATGGATTCAACTAGATTTTTTTTAATTACTTTTGTTTTAATTTCTGTATATTAATCATGCGCTGCTAATTTCAAGTTACATTAGTTACATTTCAAGTTCAGAGCAATTAAAAACAGCTAAACTAGCATAGTCATAGCAAAATTCTTAGGGCCATTGTTTGATAAAGTTTGGAATTATTTTGCAGGTTAATGTTTTGTACTGGTGATTTAAAATTAATTTTCAAATGTGTATTTATTGTACTAATGCATTAAGGTCTGTTAATTATGAACTGGAGGGAAAAATCATCTGTACTGTATCATTTATGTAATCTCGTCCTTGTCTGACCATGTTGAAATTATTTGTGTTGCAATAAACTCCTGACAGGAGGGCGGAGACAATGCCTGCTAACCTCTGGTAGTCGCCAGGGTCTCCGCTATCCATCACCTGTAGTGATGCATTGTACCGAGAAGAAACTTAAGATTACAATTTCAGTCGGTAATTTATGCAAACCTATATCATAATTAATCCTCCGCCATGTTTTACTGATGCCTTTACTAAAAATTTATCATTCTAGGCAAATATGCTAAATCAACTTTCTTTATTAAATAGTAGCTTTCTTCTAGCATTCAGAAACTTATTTTTCAGAACTTTTGAGTAAAAAAGACGAAGTTTTCTGCTTTTTCATTAACGTTTAATTTCTTTTCCTCTTCAACCGGCCAATATATTCAGCACATCGGATTAGTATTTTGACAGCCTACAGATTAACAAATACTTTCCGTGTTTATGAAGCTCTACTGAAAGTTTAGAAAGCACACACACTTTTTTAGTTTATAAATTTTCAACAACACTGCTTTGTATTTTATGGGACAGTTTTAATGGTCTCCCAAATCCTCCATTATTTTGAATTCTATAATGTTTCCAATATTGTTTTAATATAATATATAGAAGACTATTAAAAGTTTTAATTTAACGAATTCCGCAACTTTTGTAACTATTCATTTTTTTTTCCTTGTTGTAAATGGGGGGGGGGAAATCTTAAGAGTTTCTTATCGCATACGCTTCTTAAAAGTAGAAAATAAAACAAAATGTTGAAATAACGCTAATTCTAGCAAATTTTTTTA